TATGAAGAAATGGCTCAACGAGCCCTTATTTATTTATTTTGGTCTAAAATCTTTTCACCTGATTTTACTTTGGCTGTTCTCCTCTTGCTCCTACATTTATTAATAATAATAAAACTGCAGCGTTTTAAACATAAAGATTTTGTTGGATTTTTAAAAGGCTGCAGAATGTTCCCATGCAGCAATTTACTAATGCAATTAAAACCCGTCGCCAATTAAGATACACCCCCTTCTTCCAGTCCTCCCGCGTGCACCCACGCACGCGCGCCCTCTCCAAATGAAAGCCCCTCGCTGACTTTGCCCAAAGGCGCTGTCTTTGGTTGCCGGCTGTGCGTGATGAATCGTTCTCTCCAAGCGATGCAGCGCGCCTGGGTAATAAAGTACCTGCAAAGCGGAGACAAAAGGAATTTGTCACAGCCCCCCCCCCACACACACACACACACACACCACCACCACCAGCACCTCCACCCCCCGATATATTAGTGACCTCCCCGCACATTTAGCTTCCATTTGGCTCGTTTGGGGACGGTGCAGCGCTGCGCCACGATCAAAGGAACGCAGGAAACACGCAGCAGTTTGAGACGTGCGTTAAACGACTACACGCACACACACGCGCACACACACCTGTGTGGTGACCTGCAGCCTCAGCCAGCTTCCTGTTTTCAGACTCTGAAGCTGATTTGGGAAACAACAGAAGAAACAGGACTAACACACAAAAAACAGATTTTTATTAAAAACAGAAAATATTTTCTGCAAATCACAACTCCAGGGAGACTTTGAGATAAATACATTTAAAATGACCAATTTTATAGCTTTTATAAAATTTATTTCTCTTTTTTGTTTTAATTTAAAATAAATAATCACGGAAAACACTTTGATTTGGGGTGAGATGCTTCGGATTGTAGCTTTATTTCCATTATCGGACAAAAGAAAATATTTGAAAAATCAACTTTTTTTTTTTTAATCGTTGTCATTTGACGTTGAGGTTTGTTTGAGTGGGAACACACACGTGAAGCTGGAGTTCAGACAAGAATCTGGACGTTTAAGATCTACAGATGTTGAAGGAGCTGCAGCAGACAGGATAATGGACGTCCACCTATTAAGCTGTCCGATAACGGACTCATTTGAATTGACAGCTGAATTGATCCCAGACCTGAAAGAGAAGCAGAAGAAAGTGGTTCTTCAGAGTCCAGGATGAGGTCTGACACTCCTGCTGGACTTCAGAACATTTTCAGGAAACAAAAACATCCATTTTATTTTATTTATTTACAGGTCTGCATGCTTTCCCCACTCATATCATTTAACAATTTTATGTAAATGTGACAACATAATTGTGCTTTTTCAAAGTTTGTCAGGCTCTCATTTCAAGATAACTTTATTTAATTATTAAGTTATGCATTTATCATAAATCAGACACAGACAGAAAAGTTCAACTTTTGTTTCAAAAAGAGCTGAAGCAAATAACTTTAATTATTTCACAACAGCTTTAGTTTCACTTTTCTGACAAGTTCAACCTTTTTCTTTTCATTTTCCAAACTTATGTTGAAAGATTAAAATATAAATTTGCATTGCTTGAATTATAAAAGGTTTTTTTAAAACTTAACTACTGGATTGGCTTTTA